GTGTCGAGTGCCTGTTCTCCATTCCAGGGTGCAGAGGCATTTGAGAGACTGTGCATGACTTCTCTCCTTATCTCCTGCCTTCCCTCAAATACAGGAAGGAGACAAAGAGAATGTGGAATAATGGTCTCACCCACCTTCCCGTAGCCCTTGAAACCTATTACCCTAATCAACTATGTAAAAATCACCAAAAATTAAAATAATTATAAACATTAAAATGGAACATAGAAATTGATACAGGAAAGTGAGAATAGTATCACAAAAACTAGTATGACTTTATGAAAAAGAGAAGTAAAAATCAGAATAAAATACACAATTTCCTGGAGAACATGCAAATCACCAAGATAAGCTGTGAGTCCAAATGCTAAAAGGGGGCACAAATCATGGGGAAAAGTTTGGGAAAAATATCAAGGGTTTTATCTTGTGCTAAACGTGGAGCCCTCAAGAAGCAATGAGTTTTCACTGCCACTGTTCCAACAAGCCATGAGCAAGCAGTAAGAGTACATACATTCTGGGGTACACGCATAAAAGAAGAGTCCCCACTCCCGTGACATCCCTAACATGACCCCAAACCTTAAATCTTTTAAACACAACACACACACACACAAAGCTTGAAAATCCATCTGATGTATAAACACATACATGCAAACAACATAGTAAAATGCTAGCAAAAGTTTTCCAACTATACATCAAAAGAATGACACACCCTAAGAAGAGGCCCTGATTCTGTCAAAAAAATAAATGATCCAATACTTAAAAAGCTATGGAAAGAGTTCACCAAGGTAATTTGTTAAGGATAAAAAAAAAAAACTTCGTCTTCTGGGTAAAGCCTGAAAAGAAAAATATTGGCAACATTTAATATAATTTGATTTAAATTCCTATTCGAGTAAAAAATGTGCCGGTTGAAATCAATTTTTAAGAAGCTTAATTAACAGTGCTGCCATTCCCAATAAGTCTGGAGACAGAAGAAAAATGTTTAGAGTCACAGCTATTATTTGGCATGTTCTACAACTTCTGCAAAATCAATAAAACAATTCAATGATTAAGAACTATAAACTTGGAAAAGGAAGAAGAGGCATGTTACCTTTTCATTGGTTTGTTTTTGCCTGCATTGCAGTGATCCATGGGAAAGAATCATCAACTGGAGACAAAGTGAACAAAGCACACAGATCAATAAGGAAATGCAGTGTAAAACTAGTTTAGAAAAATCAGTTGGTTTCCAACAGGCCCAAAATAGCCAACAATAAAATGCAATGGGATACAGTCCATTTGGAAAAGCCACAGGCCATGCGAAAGCCTGTACATAAAGGTAATATGAGGGGACTTAAAACGCCACAATAAAAATACTAGCAAAAGTTACCCAAAGAAAAAGAATGAACCAAGCAAGGACACCCTGATTCCACCAAAGATAGATGACTCGATACTAGATTCAGGGGGGAAAAAAAAGGTTGTGGAAAATGAAAAATTTTTAAAAAACTTTATTTTGAGGCAAAACGTTTTTGAAATCTCTGCATAACTTTGTCAACTAAGGATCTTTTAATATATGTATCAAAGTTTTTTGATGTTATCTTGCAGGAAAATCTGTACCAGGGAAACAAAAATCTTCCTGATGTGTGACTACAGAACGGAACAGAGCATCTTCAAGCTCTGTGCTTGCTTCCCGCCAAAACTTCCAAATCAGAAATCGAACTTTGCTTCCAAGACAAAAAGACTTTCTTCTGCAATGGTTGACATCAGATGTTGTCTCCTTGTTAAGAACCACCAGAAAAAACTGAATTTGGGGGTGGGGGGGAAAAACTATGTTTGAAAACACGGAGAGACCAAGGCCAAGGTTGAGCCTGAGATCATAGAGAAAGAGGCTCGTGGCAATGAGCACAACCCCCTCCCTGAATTTCCCCTTAAGGAATTCGCTGGCAGACCCAGAGGTGCAAGAGGTATCCCAGCCAGGATGTGAAAACCGGAGAAGCTGAGCGGGAAACACGGTCAGGGAGATCTGGAAATGCAAGCTGCTGAGAAATGCAAGCAGTTACCCTGGGCACAGGCAGACACCACTCGGGGAGGCAGCTCGGAGAGGAGCTGCTCCAAGGGTGGAATTCAGAGAGAATTCCATTTCTGCAAATTCCTCAGACAAATTATTTCTCAGAAGCAAAGATGGCAAATGAACGTCATCAGAACAACCCCCCCACTTCTCCGGGGAAATCCAAGATTTTGGATAGTGAAGACATCTGCTTACTGAGTGTCTGCAGTATCCCGTGGGGTTCTATCACCGCTCAAAGGGAGACACCATCTCCTCCTCTCAAAAAACTCACTAAAACCACACAGAGAAGAGGTGAGCAGCTCTTTAAACAGAAGGAAGGAAAGGATGCAGCTGTACTGTACTATTGTAATCACATAGCTACCTTACCAATGTTTTTGTTTTGGTTTGGTTTGCTTTTTGCAAGGGGCGAGCACGTATTCAGACTGTCACTTGGTCACTTACTTTAGCCCTTGGAGCTTTTCCAAGCTTTCCTGTAAGGAGCATCTGCCAACAACACATTCTGCCAGTTTGACTTGGGGAGACAGCTTGGCCAGAAAAAAAGATTCTTGGTTTCCAGGTTTTTTTTTTAGGACATTTTTGGATCCACCAGGCTTCTTCTGCGAAGCGACACATCAATCCCATTGGAGCTCCATTGGAACTAAGGATGCCCGCAGCCCACAGTTCTTGTTTTCTGCTTGCTTTTGACCCTCAGCCTTTTTTCTGTGTCGCGACGCTTGCGAATCTCCTTGTGTTTATGCCACTTGCATCCATCAAGCCTTCTGAATGTGCAGGCTTTTGATTTGCAATCATTGTGGAACTTTTCAATGATGATTCTTTGTTTTTTCATCTTCCTTTCCCTCATCTCCTTCCAGCACTCCTATCTCACATATGCTCTTTTTTTTTTAAGATGTATTTATTTTTATTGGAAAGTCAGATATACAGAGAGAAGGAGAGACAGAGAGGAAGATCTTCCATCCACTGATTCACTCCCCCAAGAGGCCGCAACAGCTGGAACTGAGCCAATCTGAAGCCAGAAACCTGGAGCCTTTTCTAGGTCTCCCCATGCAGGTGCAAGGTCCCAAGGCTTTGTGCCATCTTTGATTGCTTTCCCAGGCCACAGGCAGGGAGCTGGATGGGAAGCGGGGCCGCTGGAATTAGAACTGGTACCTATATGGGATCCTAGCGCTTGCAAGGCGAGGACTTCAGCCACTAGGCTACCGTGCTGGGCCCTAAATATTGATTTAAAAGAAGCACATTATGGAAAAAAATCATGCATGGATTAGCTTTGGCACCCACATAAACTTATCTTTCAATTTCATTTTTCATGAACTTAAAAAAAAAAGCTCTTATTTATTTGAAAATCAGAAGCAATAGAGAGAGAGATCTTCCATCACTGACTCATTCCCCCAAAGATTACAAAGCCAAATTGGACCGAGCTGAAACAGAAAGCCAAGAACTCAATCTGAGTCTCCCACATGGGTTGCAGGAACTCAAGTACTTGGGCCATCACCTCCTGCTCCCCAGACGCACCAGCAGGGAGCTGGAGCAGAAGTGGACCAGCTGAGATTTGAACCTGAGCTCATACAGGATGTCCATGTTGCAGGCAGCGGCTTAACGGGCTGAACCACAACACTGGCCCTGGAAACTAGTTCCTACAAGAGAGCTGGTTATATAAGCAGCATGTGTCCGCACCCCTCTGCTTGCTCTGTATCTGCCATGCCACTGCCAGTCCACCAATGTCAGACTATTGGAACTATGAATCTTGTACTGTGAACCTCCCAACCATGAACTAGGTTGGAGCTCCTTGCTTCCTCAGTGGCTCCTCTTGAGGCAACAAGAGGCAGACTTATGCATGAAGCACTTCTCCCATGTCAGCTCCTTTTCGGTCCCCATGAGCCCCAAACCTTGGCCCTGGCACCCCGTCTTACAAATGGAAAGACTAAACCTTAGATTCTAAGTAACCTTTCCCATCTACTCCTACTGCCACTGTAACAGAGTGTTTTACCTAATTATCTCCTTCTGACGTGGCCTTTCAGTGTTAAGAACTGCCAATCTGAGGACAGTGTTGTGGTCTATCTGTGATATCAGCATCCCATTTGGGCACCGGTTCGAGACCCGGCTGTTCCACTTGTGATCCAGCTCCTGGATAAGGCACTTAGGAAAACAGTGGAAGATAGTCCAAGTGTTTGGGTCCCTGCCACTCATCTACTCATCTGGGAGACCGAGATGATGTTTCTCATTCCTGAGTTTTGGCCTGGTCCAGTCCTGGTTATTGCTGCCATCTAGGAAGTAAACCAGCAGAGGGAAGAGGTGATTCCTTCTCTCCTTCTTTCCATGACTGTGCTTTTAAAAAGGAAAAGAAAACTGATTTTTTTTTTCTCCATCTTCAGTTTCCAGTTCAAAACGGGGACCCAGTAACTATTGAATAAAGTGAAGTGCATCATTAGCTACATGCACACAACAAAATGTGGATGGGTGGGAAGATGTAAACAGGACACGTAGGGCAGACACCATGGGCTTCTCTCATTCTTAGGGTGGTGTGAGCAGATAAGTTGTGCCACCTGAAGGCCTGGCCTCAAGTCACTGGCACCTTGACCTTGCAGTACACCCCATCTTCAGGTCAGGGCTCCGTGCTGCCCGTGCCCACCCTCGCGATGAATCAGAACAGCTCACAGCATGGCTCTGTGCTCTCCTCGTGGGTTATCGAGAACACAGTGTGAGGAGGAAGTTAAAGCTAGGAGTTGGGCTCACACCTCTCCCAGTCCGTAGACAGCAACAGTTCCCAGGCCTTCCCTAATCAGCACACATCTGCCCAGAAGGCAACGGGCAACCCCCGGAACATGTCAAAACCAGCTGAGAATCATTCATCTTTGCATCAAATTGCAACTCCTATGCCCACCTCCCCCCAAAAACACACCAGCTTCTCCTCGTTCTGACATCCACAGCCAGGTCCCTCCCCTCCCAGATCAAAGCCATGAGACATCAGTGAGTTACTCTTGATGTTTATTTTAATGCATCTTAGTCCACACTGTTGGTATAAAATCAGAGAAAGCAAAGCAAAATAATAATAACAATAATAATAACAAGGGTCTGGAGTCTTAGCATCAGAGGGCACCATATGTACATTCTGAGTTGGTGGCCAGTACGAGTCATCGCCAGACAGTCCTAGGAGGCACAGAACATTCTAGACCCGGCCAATCCCAGGAAGGGGGAGGGGAACTCATGGTCCCAGGGGAGGGGTCTAGAAGCTTAGTCCTACTGCTCCGACCTTAAAGAGCAATGTGGAAGCAATGGAAGTGTTAGAGTTTCTTCATTACAGGAAGAGCAAGCAGCCTAGCAAGGTACAGAAGTGGTTATAAACCACTTATACTACACGGAATTACTCAGGTCTCCATTCTACCTTTAGGTCATAAAATTGTTAATTGGTTTTCCAGTGAGTCATTTAGATGATTAGTGAGAATAAGGAATGGTAGATACATAGCACCATGTCACAGATTGGTTGTCACCGATTGCCCACTGACAAACGTGACACACAAGGGCTGGTATCCCACAGCCACGGGCCACGTCCTCGCTCCGAGTTTCTGCTGAATGCACACTCCACCCCAAAACAAAGGGCTTTGGGTCACAGATTTTTGCTTTTGTGGAGTTTTCTTTTTCCCCACACTTTGGTTTTTTGAGGAGGTGAAATGGGAGGGAGGTATTTTATCTCAGATGAAAGGGAAAGAAGGGGTGCCAAATGAAGTTGTTTGATCTGGAGGGGGCAAAACACAACCCCTACTTCCTCCCAAGGAAAAAAAAATCAAAAACAAAACAAAATACTGAGTTTGATTATACTGTTAAGAGGTCAAGTTCTTTAGCTACTTCTTGAAGGTTCAACATGAGCCTGATGGTCAACATAAAAGCCAAATACTGCTATGTACATACATGTAAAAAGTGTTATAAATAGGTTTTATAAACCATAGATAGTATATACACCTTCGAGGGACAGCCACTGCCATCCGTTTGGTTTTTGGCTGGAGTTGGGGCTATAGGGGCTAGCTCTCTCATCCTTGTCTCAGGTTCTGGGTCCCTGGCCTGCCTTTTATACGCTCGGAGCCTCCGACACACACTGGGAGCGGGTCAGGGCGCCTCATTCGCGTTTCCGTAAGATCACGTAGACCACGCCACTGAGCAGGGCCAGTGGGAAGGCCACCCAGGCCAGGATGTAGGAGAAGCCATACGAGTTGTCCGAGTTGACATGCCACTCCGTGTGCCGCACCGTGTAGATGGCCGCCGCGCTCATCACACATAGACCTGCCGGGGACAGAGACAGGACACTGGGTGAGCCGAGGACCACACCTCTCCCTCCATGCCCTCACCTCCTCCCAACACTGTGGGAGAAAGTACAGTTCTAACTTGGAAGGCTTCTGCTGCCAGGGGCGGAAAGGAGAGGAAGCAACAACAGACAGCTAGAGGCGCAGGAAGAAAGAGCTCCGGTCCACTGGCCAGCTGCGCTTCCTGGTCACTGCCTACCCAGAGTCCCTTACAGGTTTCTGCCCCCTATGTCTCCATCTTTAGCTGTCCCCAAATTCCCAAGTCACTCGAAGGCAGTTTCTGGAAACTGCTCCCCAGGATCCAGCTCTAGGTGACACAGGCAGAAGCTACATGGAAGAGAAATCACACTTCACCAGGCCTGGATTTGTGCTATGTGGCAGCTCAGTGTAGACAACCAGGCTGCCCCTTGAGATGAGGAGTCACCTACAGGCCATGCCGCACAGAGAGAGGAATGCACGGAAGTGAGGAAGCCACAGGAGGAAGTGGGTAACAGGTGCATAGCCACACCTGGTGCCCCTCAGGGTGGGGGCTGAAGTCCAGCAGGTGCACAGGTAGGCCCAGCCACCTCTCCAGTCCAACCACCAGGGATATGGCAGGGAGCAGAAGGACCAATGCAAGCAGCCAAACTCCTGCCCTTGTGACAGTCAGTGTCCCCTGGCAGGAAGGCATGTGGTGATGTCAGAACCCCAGCGAGGAGCTGCACAAAGCCTGGTCTGTTCCCTCTTGAATGCAGAGCCTTTGAGAAGCCCTGAGGGACTCTATTATGAATCCAGCACACCGCGTGGGCCTTGTGTGGTTCCAGCACTCCCCACAGCTGGCTCCACCTACACCTAACCTCGCTGCTATTCGGGTAGCTGTTTGACAGGACACTGCAACTTTGTTTGGACAAAAGGCAGAAGTGGGAATATGTACACATGGGCCAGCCGGATAGGAATGGCCCTCATGCAACTCGGGAGGAGAAAACGCCCACTCCCAGGGCCCCTGGCGAGAACACCATGCAATGGCCGAGGGGAGGGATCAGCCTCAGGACCTGCTGTGGCCTACACAAAACCCAGGAGACAGTAACACTGTTTAGGTCACGAGCATGACTGTAAAACTGAACACTTTCTTTGCCTTTGGGGATTCTCACTATCTCATGCCCCTTTCTAAGAAAAATCACAGGGCCCAACACTGGGGTACCTGTGATGTGAATACTCCATATAAGAGCAGAGGTTCAAACTCGGCTGTTCCACTTCTGATCCAGCTCCTTGCCAATGCACCTGGGAAAGCAGCAGAGGATGGCCCAAGTGCTTGGGCACCTGCACCCACATGGAAGATTCAGATAAAGCTCCTGGCTTGGGCCCAGCTCAGTATTGGCTGTTGCAGCCATTTGGGAACTGGATCAGTGGATAGGCAATCTGTCTCTCCCTTTCAATCTGCTATTTGAAATAACAGTGACAGAGAGAGCAGGGGAAAGAGAAAAAGCAAAAGTGTTTCCATCTGTTGGTTGGTTACCCCAAGTGGATGCAATGGTCACAGCTGAGTCAGCCCAAAGCCAGGAGCCAGGAGCTTCATCTGAGTCTCTTAAAAGAGTGTCAGGTGTCCAAGCACTTGTGTAATTTTCACTGCCTTTTACAGGCCATTATCAAGGAGTAACATTGGAACTTGAGCAGCTGGGACACAAACAGGTACCTATAAGGGATGTTGACATCACAGGCAGTGGCTTAACCCCCCTACAATGTCAGCCCCAGAGAGAAATCTTGGAGTTGAAATCTTGGGCTCTGTCCGAGTCACAGAAAATAAAAGAAAAAAAGTAAGCTTGGTCACAGAAGCGGGCAAGGTGATAACAACAGGCTTAAAAGAGCAACACAGTGCTTATTGTAGGGACACAGCTCCCAAGGGAGGGTGTCTGACCAGTGCAGTGTGTAAACGCCCTGGCAGCCATATGGAAATCAGCCCTTGCCCTCATCTCATAGGCAAAGAGAAAACATCAGGTCCTTTGCTTGAACCCAAGGGACTGGAAGAGGCAGGGATATACCAGTGCGGTACCTAACTCGGTGGCTGTACCACCATGACTTTGAGTCTCATCAGACTTTTAGAAATGAGGGTCTTCAGAGCTTAACTGTAATGAGCAATAAGTTCAGCTCCCACCAGGGAAATAGGATCTTGAGCTGGTCAGTAGGTGAGGAGAGGTGGAGGGAGAGCAGAGGTGAGGCAAGGAAGGCCAAGGAGTCATGCTAGACACAACCAGCAGGTCACAGCCACAGTCTCTGTGACAAGGCTCCTGGCCCCAGAGGCCAGACAGCTGGCTGAAGGCTGGGAAGGGGGAAGCCAGGGTGTGTGAAGAAGGAGGCTCTGGCAGGTAGCCTCAGCAGAGGAGGACCATGAGCTGGGGTTTGTTTTAAGATTACTCTGGCTGCAGTGTCAGAAAAGACTTAGCAGCCAGGACAAGGCAGGTGATCCTAAAGCTACAGGGTCTCCTGGGTGTGCCCTACATGGAGCCAATTGCTGGATGCAAGGGCTGAAATGCATCAAGATCTATAGACATCAAGGTCTATGGCCATCAGAAATTCTTGAAAGGTTTCCATGTTGTGTAACCCAACCCAGCAGAGTAAAAGCCAGGGTAACTACAAGCTAGGAATAGAGTCCTATGGGTTCTGAAAAGAATGACTCCAAACTCCATTAGCAGATCCAGGCTATTTCTTCCCCACAAGGTGGCCTAGGAGAATCCAGAGCCTGTGATCGGGACTGGCTGTTTATAAGGGAATATTCTAGAAGACCTCACAGCAGCACCAGGCACAGAGGGATGGGACAGTGGTTCCCAGGCCTGCATGCAATCAGCATCACTGAGGGATGCATCTTAAACAGGATGCTGGAGGGATGAGGCTCAAGTAGCCCTCACACTCCTAATTTCAAGTCCTCTCATTGAGTCTGATGTATAGCTGGGTTCAAAGTACACAGAGCAAGAGGAAGGCACCCTCAGGAAGTGGCCCACCTATGAAGCATGTCATCTAAGAGACCAGTGCCCTCACATGGAAGACTCGTGGCTTGTCACGGACTGGAAAGAGAAGCATGTGGTGAACCAGGGAGGCCCCTGACCACACACAGAGGGGAAGGAGCATGGCTCCCAAGCCTGCGCTTAGCCGCAGCACCCCCAGACCCTTGCACCCAGCCTTCCTGCAAGCTTCTCGTTACCCCTACAAACCACATCTGGGTCCTCCACAACGAACCAGTGTGGAGGTAACCCAGCCTGTAGTAGTCACTCGGGAGACCCAGGCGAGACTCCAGTGGTTTTCACTGAAGCTGCTTCAGAGCCTGGAAGAGACGTTAGCCCTCCACTCAGCCAACTCTTAGTAACAGTAGCTTCTGCTTCCACACTCTCCAACAGGGCATACCCCTCTCTCCCTTTCTTTCCTTCTTTCCAGTTGTGTCTATTTTCTTCCTTGCAGTCAAACTGTCACTTCCTAGGTTTCCCCCAGGCCTTGCCTCCAATAATCAGAACCAAGTTTTCTCTCTAATCAAACAGTTGGGCCAAGTTTCTTCTAGAGTGGTCACATGCTGAAGGAATCAAGAAATCTCAAGAGGAATCCCTAACCCACTTAGGTCTTAGTGCCTCAGCTATGATGTTCTAGATATCTGAAGTCCCCAAGACTAGTTTCTGAATCATTTCAACAACTGAAAAAAGAACATTCTTAGAGCTTCCCAATGACCATGGCTGCTTTTAACTTAACATGTCTAATTCAAGATCACTTCCTATTCAAATACTTATGGCTAAACGGATAACAGACAATCGGGTGTTAGGTAGATAGATAAGCAGCAAGATCAGAAGGGAATGAGGAAGAGAAAAAAAGAACAGATCATGTGCTTTCAAACGTAGAGGTTCCTCTTAAAGTGTGCTGAAATGTCAGCATTGGGTTCAGAGGAGAAACAAAAGAAAGAAGTGAGTGTGGATTTGTAAATACACCTGTGGAGAGGATTGAGTCCTCAAGAGTGTTGGGCCATGCTGACATACAGAACACTGTCACATGTCCGATCCAGCAGCTCTTGGCTCTGGACTTTGAGTGTTGACGCAAAATGATGTTGCTAAAAAGAGACACTGTTACAGAATCTTAGAAGAATGAAGAAGAAGAAGCTGCTTCTTCAGGGAACACCCCTTCAAGTGCCTTCACTCTTCTCAGTCCAATATTTGGCTTGACCAGTTCCACTTCAGATGTTCTTGGACACACAGGGAATTGCCGGTGCGTGAACTTGGGTCACCTACGGAGTCTGCCACTATGGCTTCCCATAGCTTCTCACCATTGTGCCTGCAAAATCAGGCAGCTGGCAGTCTGCAGATCAAGGACAGCTAATGAAGCAATATGGTGTATCTAGATTGTAGCTTCCTTCCTGATGACATGTGTAGGGGTGTGGGGAGCTTCCTGGCAGGGCCTCCAATTCATGCAGAAGCAGACAGCCTCCATGTTCTAGTATGTACACATGCATACATGCACACACACTAACATCCACACGTTAGGCAAAGCATCCAGCAGGCAGACTCCTGACTTCCTGCCATGTTCTTGGACTACAGGCAATAAGTCTGTAGCCATGGGAGGTCCCTAGCTTGCTTAGGGGCTTCAGCATCCAGAACTTACCAGCAAGGATTTGGAAGACTCCGGTGATGTAAAAGCGGCCACCCTTGGTGAGAGTGAAGAGCTGGCAGAAGAACAGGAACAGGGAGAGGACGCTGAAGATGACGGACAGGATCATGGTGGCCTGGACAGACTGCAGCCACTCTGCGGGGAGAGACACTTGGTTAGGGAAGTCCCCACCACAGTCCGAAGGACTTGGCCCCAAAGCATGTGGGGGCCTGGTAGACGGTGACCCATGTAACCTTCTTTTATACCCTCACACTTCACTCTTAATTTAATGATGTTTTTTGAAAGGAGCACAGTTCTACACATGGAGAACACATCTTGCTGTGGACATTTCAGCCAAGAGCTCTGAAATTCTACCGCTCTGGGTTCAACTCCAGTTGGATTCCTTTCCCAAAGGCATTAGTTCTGTAGACAAGTGATTCTCAACTTGCAACCATGGGACTTGGGATTGGTTGACTTCACAAGGACAGGAAAGCAGTACTGGAACTGTAATTCGTGGTGTGAATTTGTGACCGTTTCCTCCATGTAGCAGGGCTGGAAAGCACAGTTAGACAGACCAAAGTACTTTTCCACATACGATATTTTCAACTTATTTTGGGTTGGTCCACCCTCCCATATTAAAGAAGACCTGAGCCTACCCATCACCTTCCTTTTGATAGCTTTATGGGACCTCTGAAGAATAGTTGAAAACTGTAGTTCGCAATATCACCGACCACCAGGGGAGATGCAGAGATTGGGCAGGGAGGGCTGATGGGAGTCAAAACTGGCTTTGTTAGAAAGCTGGAAGGAAACATTGATGGCGCCACATATGCCTTATGAAGACATATGGTTGTTTCAGGCAAGCTCTGCCTCTCTCTCCTGCTCAGGGCCATGAGCCTCTGCTTGATAGACATCATCAGATAAGATCCGGGTGGTTGAGCTCTTAGTCTTAGACAAATTCTCCATGTTTCAACTGAAACACCCACAGTGGCTCCAGCTCAGCCTCTGCTGTGATCCCAAGAAGGAAGGAAAGGAGGAAAGTGGGGAAATGACTTGAACTCAACAGCACACAGAGAGGCCCTCTGTATCCACCTGCAAGAGCAGTATCTGAGTTTGCCCACCATGTTTTTGGACCTTAGCCTTTCTTCCAAGTGCCACAAAGTTACTAGGGCAGGCACTGGATAAGCTACAGGGTGCAGTCCACTCAGTTCAATAACCAGCCAATATGTGAAGGCATTTGCTAATCTTTTATTTAAGAGAGAGATTAGAGAGAGAGAGAGAGACTGAGAGCTTGGGAGAGAGAGAAAGAGAGGAGAGAGAGAGAGAATGCCCACAACAACTGGGACAGAAGGGCTGGGGTGAAGGCAGGAGCCTGGAACTTAATACAGGTTTTCCACAAGGGTGTAGAGGAATCAATCCCCTGAGCCATCCATCAGTGTTGTAGTCCAAGGTCTGCATTAGCAGAAGTTGGTATCAGGAGTTACAGCAGATATGGAACACAGGCGTTCAACGTGGGACCTAAGGCTCCTAACCAACATCTTAATCACTGGGTTGACAACCCACCCCCCGTGCAACGGTTTTCGAAGGCATGTATCAGAGCATAATATGCTGCTAAAATCCATGAGATCTGGATGGTTTGTGATTAGCACCTGAAGACGAAAACTGTATTGAGTTTCAAGCAGCTTAAGGGTGCTGAACAGGAGGCCTGGCACAATGGCTCAACGGCTAAATCCTAACTTTGCAAGCACCAAGATTCCACAAGGGTGCTGGTTCATGTTCTTGCTGCTTTACTGCCCATCCAGTTCCCTGCTTATGGTCTAGAAAAGCAGAGAAGGATGGCCCAAGGCCTTGGGACCCTGCACCCTCATAGGTGACTCAGAAGAAGAAGCTCCTGGCTCCTGACTTTGGATTGAATCAGCTCAGCTCCAGCCATTGCTACAATTTATTGAGTGAACCAGTGCATGGAAGATCTTTTTAAAATATATATATATAGTTTAAAACAATGAGGGTTGCTGAACAGGTTAACTGTTACTAGCCCATGGTACAAGACTTTTCCAGAAACTAGAAGCATTTTAAAGGTGGAAGAACCTGAGGGAGGCCGGCTCCTCTGTCCTGAGAGAGGTTTCCAGAGATGCTTGGAAAGGACCAAGCAACACAGCCATATCTCCGAGGTTCCCAGTAGCAGACCAATTCACTTTCCACTATCACATAACAAGTGCATCTTTATTTCTTATCTTCTATTTCAATTTAAGCAAGAAACCAATGCTTTATATTCAAATAAACTTGTTTGAGGATTAAAAACAAAAAAACAAAAAGAAAGATGCTTAACAGGCTGTGAGGCACCCTGATTTCATTTTCAGAAGCACTTCATCAAATCTGTCTTTCTCCACCATAGTGGCTCTTCCAGAGGAACACTGTACAATGATACTAATACTATACTAACACATTATATTCATTGCCTGTTGAGTGCACTCCAGCAGGAGGCAATGTTAAGTAGAAAATAACACACGTTTCCTTCCCCAGCTCCAGGATCTTTGCCCTCTTCTCCACTCCCACTGTCACTAGCAGAAGAAGCTAGTATCAAATGTCACAGGTGGAAAGAAACTTAACATTTCTATTCATTGACTATGAATCAGAACAGTTCCAGAGATTGAATGACACCGCTAAATCCTTCCGGAAACTTCCTTTATCCATCATGTGAACCTTAGTCCCAACCCAGTTAGAATGGAGTTCTTTGGATGTCAAGATGTTTCTCAAATCAGATCAGGAGATTGAAGAGATGCTCCTCAAACAGAAGGCACTAGGAGACCAAGAAGGTTGGATTCCGTGAGCACTGCTTAAACACCTGCTGTTTTGAGCTCAGTCTTCTGGTTGGCTCTGAGGAAGGGAAAGCAATGATTCTCAACCCTAAACAGAGTCAGAGACATACCATGAAGACAGTGAGTGTGTCCAGCTGTGCACTGGCAATCCAATGCTGTGGCACGGACCAAGTCACTCACTGTCAGATACAGAATCTCACATGGGTTAGATAAAATTGTATTTTCATAGAATAGATACTTCTGAAACAAAACAGCATTGGAAAAATTCTGAAAAGAACCCCCAAGCAAATATGAGTAAACAGAAAACAGTTAAATTGTGATCACATTTTTTAAATTTTACATTAAAAAAAGAAAAGTAACGAAACAGAAAATATTTAGTTTGCTTGATATTCCAAGATACTTGATTGATGATGACTGAAGCAGAAAGAAAAGAGGAAAAATAAACCTTTATGCACATAATAACATGGTCTAGAAAAAGCAAAGTATGAGAGGACATTGATAAAGCCACGATTGTTAGTTTGCTCCCAAGAACAGATAAATCAGGCACACCAAAAGTAAGAAAGAATGTAGGTTATTTGCAGGACAGGATAGAACATTATTCTAACAGGTATAGAAGAAATCTGTGTCCAAATCACACTCTACAAATTATTTTCAATGATACAGGTCCATGAGACAGTCTTAGAAATTGACTATGTAAGAAAGAAAGAAAGAATGAATGAATGAATGAATGAGAGAAAGAAAGAAAGAAAGGAAACTGACTATGCAGTAAACAAAAACCAAAATGCCTCAAGTCATGAAGCAAGTAGAAATGAGAGAAGCATATTATACAGCTAAATACAATTAACTTACAAAGAACAAGCTAGAGCAGAAGACATCAAGCCACAATAAACTCGTAACCTCACACACATACACAAAAAAAAAAGCCACTATTCCAAATAGTCCCTTGGATAAGAAGAGATGGAAAGCAGACGCTTCTTCAACAAGGGGCGACGTTGAGAATTCTGCGTCCACAGAAGCCTTCTCGGGAAAATGCATACCTTTACATGCCTTCACTGTAGAAATGCTAAGAAAGGAATGAACCCAGCTAGCAACTCAAGAATCTAGGGGAAGAAAATGAAGTAAACACAAAACTAACTGGTTTATAGAGATAATAGCAGGGAGTAGGGAGACCAAAATGTGACAAAAGACATTTAAACATCTGGGTCTTTGAAAAGAAAAAACTCCGTAACATAGATAACTTTAATTAAATCACATCAGAGAAGTGCTATAGAAATAGAAACATAGCATACTCCCGAGCTCCTGAATAGAAATGTTCAAAACTAGATTGGGAGGGCCCGGCGGTATGGCCTAGAGGCTGGGGTCCTCGCCTTGAACAGGCCAGGATCCCATATGGGCACTGGTTCTAGTCCCGGCAGCTCCACTTCCCATCCAGCTCCCTGCCTGTGGCCCGGGAAAGCAGTCAAGGACGGCCCAAAGCCTCGAGACCCTGCACCCACACGGGAGACCCGGAGGAGGTTCCTGGTTCCCGGCTTCAGATTGGCACAGCACTGGCCGTTGTGGTCACTTGGGGAGTGAATCATTGGACGGAAGATCTTCCTCTCTGTCTCTCCTCCTCTCTGTATATCTGACTTTGTAATAAAAACAAATAAATCTTTCAAAAAAAAAAAAAACTAGGTTGGGGGTTCAGTTGGCTAATCCTACAAGCACTAGCAGCCCATATAGGCACCTGTTCTTGTCCCAACTGCTCCACTTCCCATCCAGCTCCCTGCTTATGGCCTGGGAAAGTAGTGGACAATGTTCTTAAAGCCATGGAACCCTGCACTTGCATGGGAGACCTAGAAGAAGCTCCTGACTCCTGGCTTTAGACCAGCTCAGCTCCAACCATTGTGGCAATTTGAGGAGTGAACCAGTGGATGAAAGATTTTTCTCTCTCCTTCTCTCTCTGTAAATCTCCCTTTCGAGCAAATAAGTAAATAAATAAATATATTCTTTTAAAAAGAATTGCTTAAAATTATAAGGATACAAAAACAAATTCCATGCTATTCTAATCAACCATCAAATGGAACTTGAGAAAAATGACTCCAAAATTCATTGATAGAACAATGAGCTAGAATAAGAAAACTGAACCAAATGCAATCGAGCAATAAGAGTAAAAACATAATCAAAAAAATGTAAACAATACAAAGTCAATGAAAAGATGTCACCTATTAGATGTCAAACACATACCTATGTTGAGGTTATTATATTATATGCTATGCACTACATATACACTAGATTTATTAAATGCATAATTAAAATTATACATTTGCAATGTGTTCATTTATAAAAATATATTTGTAG